ATTGTCATTCCACTTTCGAGGTGGTGCAGCTCTCCCCCGAACACGAGCAATTTTGGAATGAAGATAGACAGGTGGTACATCTCGGGTTTCAACCAATTTTGTTATGGTACAGTATTTGGAGGTGACACACATGTGATCGTGGCTGAACATGGCTATTTGGCGCCGGTGGATGCTAAGACGTGACGTCAGGCTAGATTATTAGCGCTTCATGCCGAGGCATGTGCTTTTCTGTTCAGTGTGCGTGCAGACAATCTGGTGATCGTGTGCGCTGGGGTCTTGTGAGTTGGCCTGGAAAGCGTTAATCAAGAGAAAGAGAACAATGGAAAGCAACAATAACCTGCACCTGTGGTCTGACAAGGGTTTCACACAGCACAAGGTGATTGATTCTAAACGAAGGGGTCAAATCTCATTACAAATGAATTTTTCGTGGACCACCCCGAAAGGCATCGAAACTGCGCATGTTTGAGACCGCCACAGACAGGCAAACAAGAAACAAGACCCGGCCTGAAAACCTTACTTTTCGGAAGGAGAGAGTTGTGCATATCTATCGCAGAACCCCCTTTCTCTTCTTTTAGAGTTATCATGTCCTCCTCGGGGTGAAAGACCATCTTCAATCAGGACCCCTTCTGACTTGACAACGCTTCAATTCCGTCAAAAACCCAATTGTTGCCTACAGCCCCGACGAGTGGCCCAGCAATCAGTGACGGAATGCGTTATTTGCGTTGTTCGCGGATGGGCCCCGAATTTGCTGATGGCCAAAATTCAAGTATTTGCCAGGGTTTCGAGAAAGCGTGATGGCACAGCATGATCTGAATTCGGAACCAACCGGTTGTTCCTTAACGAGAAGCATCATCTACTATTACCCAATTTCTGCACAACGGACACAATGTGCTGGCAAATTCTTGGGTACGCCGAAGGGTCGGCGGCGTATATTTGTTTGGAATTAATCACAACATCAATCTGTGTGTGGGGCTTCCTTGTCCTACCTGCGTTGACAAATGCTAGCTTTCCCTTGGCGACCAGCACCACCTGCTCGACCGGATTGCCTGCCTTCCACATGATCTCTCCCGCAGCGAGTTTCTTCGCCTGCAGTGTTGTTGGAAATTGCCGTGCTCACATTCACAGGGTGAGGGGCTTCAAATGTTCGCTTGTAGTATCGTATTTCTCGGTGCTACGTACAGCCAGCATTCCCAATTTGTTTATCTGGCAATCAAGTCTAGTCAAGGCAATCAAGTCTAGTCAAGGTGCACCCCTCACAAGTACCCTCATATACGCTCGTGTATCGTCCCTGCCGGCACAAGGGCGAACACGTAGAAGCACCCGTACCCGGAATGAGGCTCCAACGATTATTTCTCGGCATCATTGGACATACCTGTGTGAAGGTCTCGAGCTGCAGTGTTTGTTTTCGGCTCATCGAGCAGAGAACAGAATTGTAGGCCAACAACCTGGTCAGCCGGAACGTATCCTCCAGGGGCTTGGCCTTAAGATCGATGATATGTTGCAGATCTTGCCCGTTGAATGACAAGACCTTTTCACAGAGGGGAGTAGAGGTGCAATATAAGACAGCTTGCTCGGCCGAATGGCGTCTGGTTGGACTCAACCCTTTGAACTACAGAACGATGTTGAAGCTGGTGGCGTAACTCTTGAGATTTTAAATCTTGTGATCATGAGGCCGAAGATGATTAATGAGCTTCTATAAGATGTAATTTTCGGGCTTGGCAGGGAAAAGAATGGCAACTCAAGTTTTCAGCAGGAAACGAAACGAGGGGTCGGGATCGTATACTGAGGGCCATTGCGTGCTTGTTCCAAGCAACAGGGTCGTAGTCTAGACCGCATGCTTTGAACAAATACCGATGTTAAACAAGGTTTTCGTGTGATTGAGAGCGAAGTTTCTGATTGAGAGCGAGATTGCGCGATGCGCTGTAGCTGGACTACCGCTGAGAGGTGGAGCTTGCTGCGAGACTTGAATTGAAGGCCTAGCCCGTAGCTACCAGCCGATACCCTGGTCATCCTGTGGGCGTCTCTCGTTGTGGAGATCCAGCGGGGAGCAGAATCTACAGCAGAGCTCACCACCGCCCGCGATCAAATCGCCCTGAAACAGTTTGAGGCAGGAATAGCCAATCTGGGGAAATCTAGCAACTTGTCTAGCTCCTAGCTGCAGCATCCGATCGCGATGACACGCATATGCTCGTGACGCTGCTGATGAGACCTTCAATTTGCGCCGCTTCTTGGAAGAGCCCGCCCCCTACTTCCCAAGAAATGGCAAGAGGCGTCTGGACCCGAAATTTCAATCTTTTTGGCTCCCGCTCTCAATCGTATACTCCGCTCTCAATCAGGCGGAAACCCTGTTGTTTCTGGATACTACGAAGGGCAGGAGATTGCGCCCGGTAGCATGGATACATCTCTCAAGTTCTTCGGTCTGGCACGAGACTGCTCTAAGAGGGCGGCAACCTTGCACTGGTTCACTGTGTGAACTTTTTGCCTTGCACGACAATACTTCGCACAAGTCCTCGGCTACATACACGTGAAAAAACTTGACCGTGCAAGAAAAGCGCGACGACCGAGGGCAGAAATGGAGACACAGTCCGAAACTTATCCCTGACATCTCGACAACAATCGATCGGCATAGCAGACAGCGCAGGATTGAACTCCTCGTAGACCCACCTCCATATCGGTGACCGCCTTTATTTGCACATTGCCCTTTCGCCGAACACTTCCTTCTAGCAACAGCTGCTCGGGGACATTTAGGAGGAGAGAAGCAATCGTAGGGATAAGAGAGCGTTGACCGTGAACTTTTTCCATGTTGAGGACGGTACTGACGTTCTGATGTCATCCTTCCCTTCACGTACGTGTAGGAGAGGAGACAATGGATGAGGAACGGTGGAGCGGGAGGAAATGCCCGCTGTTACGAGGCTACCACTCGGTCCCCCGCGCGGTGGTCGTATCTTCAACAGATGGTTGCTGCGTAACGAACAGGGGGTGCGAAGCATGGGGGTCTGTCGACTGCATTTCCGAGCGCCACTCGAACAGCGTGAAGTCGATACCCAGTCTTGACGGGGGGAGGCAACTCGTGCGTTGAAGTCGAAGCCCCGGCCCCGACAGTCTGCAGATACATAGACTAGCGAATGACCCTGTGGTCCTTCGTCTCTTACCACATCTACGAATTCAGAACAAAGCAGGCGATAGAAACTGCGCATCCCACACAAACGATCTTCCATCCATGACAACCAACCTTAAAAATCCATATTTGTTAGCTGGACTGGGAAAATATGCACTCGATCATATCCTTGCTCCAATTCCCATTTCAAGTTGTATTTAGCAGTACACGCTGTTCACGTGCGTGTCACACTTCTCGAGCTGCGTTGCAGAACGCAACAAAGTTTGCGTGGCATCCGGTAACTTGAGTGTGTCGGCTCCTTCCTGACCCCTGGTCCGGGAGGAAAGTGGTTTCTAGAGAACCGGTTGACCATTTTTCGCGCAGGTGACCTGAACGACAGCACATTGCTTGCCTCCATGGGCACGTTGTCACTTGCTGGGCTTACTCACGGTTGACTCGACGAAGACAAGATAACGCCAGCCTTGTCCAAATACCAAACATTTTGGGAGGGATAACCGTGTCGCCGGCAGTTGTTCGGCCACGGGGATAATGTACAGGCGAGAAAATGAGTCGGACACCACTGTTGAAGGGCAGAGCCGTACACCTGCACACCATTGCTTTGGCGTTGAGGGATGTCGGTGTAGCCTCGGTGCAGCCTCCGTGCTGCCTCGGTGTTGCCTCGGCGTTTCCGCGAAACTAAGCGAAGGGAAAGATCGTCCTCAAGGCAAACCGTCGAAATTTCCGGTATCCCCAGCTACTACCAGCGATAAGACTCTTGAAGACGTACCGTTTCGTACTTTATCGCGGAGATGCGCCGGAATGCATCGGCGTTGCAGCTGATTTGGATCAGATTTTTCTGTTTTGACGGAGGAGCTCGGACAAGGCTGAGGCAACGGAGACCACACCCGCGACCTAGTTGCATGCTTGTGGCGTGATTGCTCACCTCTTCTCCGTAGCAGTCTCCCCGTCGGAGCACGGTGTTGAGGATGGCGAACGAGCGACGGGTGCCGGCCTCCTTGATCACTCTGCTCCGAGGTCGTTTGAGAGGCATACAGACGTACCAACGACCGAAATTTTGTGACCATGTTTGACGCTGACAACGCTGCTCTTTTCGAGAATCGTTTTCCCGGTTTCTAAACCTAATCCTAACTAGCGCCGAAATTGTGTCGATTCGAAGCACATTTGAATCTGTGGTTGGCTGATCGTCACCCCTGGTGGATGATGCTCCAATGGCATTTGAGGGAGAAGGGGTTGGCGTCCCTGGTTCAAAAGCGTTCGTGGTCTTCAGCACTGGATATCATATGTAAGTACGTCGCTAGTTGAACGACACGCCATGTTCAATAATCGAACAACCTATTTCCGTTCGTCCGCGCCAAGCCTCGTGCGATTTACCACAAAAGTGCGGTCTTGGGCTATGGACGAACGACGCCAAAGACTCTGGAAGATCTGGCAAAGACTCAGGGAAGTCTGTTTGTGGCGTGAAAAGCTTGGCCTTTACGTGTCCGCGTAGAACCGACCTTCTCACACGAAGGCAAGGCCTTCCAAAAACATTTGGTGGAAAGAAATTAAGCAGGTGGTGGAAATGTCAACGGCAGCGAGGGCCGGTGCTGGTACAAATTGTTGAAAAAGCGTTTCAATGTGGCACCCAGATGACGTTGTGCACCCAACCGCTCATGTCGGGCACAAACCAAGTTGTACGCGGCCAGGGCAGTGTCATTGCAAAAATGGTGTTACCGGCGTTGCACGAACTTCTTGCAGGGCGTGAAAATTGGTTTCAAGCATCCGTCTGAATCAGTGGTAGGATGACAACATGTTTGGGCCCAACGGAAGGTTCAGCTCATATATTTTCGCGCCACATCTCAGGAAGAAAGACTACACTTGCCGTACGTTCTGTGGGCCGCACTCACGTGGATGTTGCTTTTCCGTGGCATATGATTGCAAAATCTGTGGTATCAATGTCGCAGTGCTGGACGATCGCATTCGCTTCAAACCTAACCTGCCGCGCCACCTCCAGCAGAGACCGCGCCTGGCGATAGAGTAAATGAAGAAAAGAACATGTGGGTAAGCCGATATTACTATTTACTGTTCCGCGAGAGTGAGTGCAGCGGGCACGGTCAGTCAGACACATGTGAAGCAAATCGCGTGATATCCTCGACCGCGGTCTTCTGCCTTCCTATCGAACGGCTCGCAGGCCAACCCATTTCCAAACGATACCCGCGTGCGTGAGCCTAAGGGGAAACCTAGCGGACGGTTCATCTTTGTAGTAGCGGTTACATCCTCTTCAGAAAATTTCCTGGTTTCCGCAGCGAAATGTTCCAATACAGTCAAAAACAGATATCAGTTTTATTGAACGAAGTTGACACTGAAGAGACAGAACCGGGTGTCCTACGGTGGCGTGTGCTACCGACCTCGACAGGCAAGAGGAGCAGAGAAAAACATAGAAGTTCAAAGGGATAGCACTGAGCTTTGACGTCGATCGTTCATCGAGTTTTCGAGAGAAGGATACAGTTTGCATTCACTCTTGCAAATCCAGACAAGAATCGAAGTCTTTCACAGACCGTCGTTTCTGTATTGCGGTACATTTCTGTAAAGCGGCATCGATGTCTTCTCGGTATTCGCCATGAAGACTGCTTTAGGATGCTCTCGTTTCGAATGGCCGAAGAGCAAAAGGCGTTCAAAGTAGAACCCAACACAAGTGCAACAGCAGAACGGCCAGGTGTAGAGGACAATTCGCAAACACACCTGGGCCACAGAAACACCGCTCAGGATTCCCACGGAGCAAATGAGGTCCAACGAGTCCAGCGCTTCTTCGTGAATATTGGCGATGGTGTCTAGCCGCATCGTGTTCTCGACCCCTGCGGGGGGCACCTTCAGCCCGCTGTCTTTGGGAATCGAGGACTCGCTCACGTGCACCACGAACACCCGCTTTTTGAGGTCGTCGGCGAGGCCCTGCGGTAAAAAACAGAAGAAGTCACGCAAGACTTCTCCAATACTGCCTGCGAACGTAGTTCTGTCTTGCGGGCATCCGGCGCGGCGTACCACGGCGTCGTAGCGCCACAGCAAGACCCTGAAAGGATGTGACACCATGTACTTCCTTCCATAAAACGCGACACCCATCCGAAAAATACGCTATTGCCTGGTTGGAAGAAAGTTTTCTACAGCCAACAGCCTACAAGTGTGAGAGTCTTCACCTCCAGGGTTTGTATCGGCGTGTGGATCGGAGGGATCCCTGCCTCGTGAAAGATCAAGTCGTGGTGCCACGGGAAGTTTAGGAGGGCATCACGCCTCCCTTCTGATAGAAAACCCTGTTCGCACATCTCACGGATCCTGCCTGGATCGTTCATGTGGTCTGCAGAAAATACCATGCCCTTGCCCTTGAAAGTAACCTGACCAACGAGAGGATAGCCGCGGACGGGGGTGGGTGGGATATGTGCCGGACGTGAGGCTCCCGCGGTACGAGTTTCTGATCATTGGACGGGGTTGGGGCGGATAACGGGTCTGTGGTCGGGCAATATCTTGAATGGCGGACAACACACCCGAAGCACATTTGGGTTAGTCCAATATCAGGACTCGCTCGTCCAAGGTAGAAAGAACATGGTGTCGGTAGGTAGTCTGGTGCTTGGCGACACCATTGTTCCCAAGAGGTTTTCCTGGTCAAAGAGCAGTTTGCTCAGTGCATCGGCCCAATTTCATCACGTGGCCAACACGATCCATCCGGTGCGGTTGAGTTGAACCATTGAAATTCGATTTGGTGCAGGTCGACAGCAGGGTTCCGAACCAGCTTAGCAGAAGGGTCTGCCTCGACAAGCATTGGGGTACACTCCGGGAAATCGGGTTGGATCGGACATCATAGCCGGGACAACTACTGCAGCAAACTCACCTCAAAGCCCACGCAGGGAATAGAGTGAAGGGTATAAAAGAAGTCGAAGGAGGCCCCGTTAAGCCTCAAAGTCTGCCCGATCTTCACGGGGATGAACTTGTGGCTAAAGCGGATAAGGTCGCCGCTCATGCCAGAGAGAGCGGTGTATTTGCGGATGAAAGATTCGTAAATGGTCCTGAAGGTACACGAAGATTTCATGCGCCGATAAAGCGCAATGGCAGGAGAGGGTTACGGGGGTAGGAGTGTGGGCGAGAGACGAGGGAAACCCAAATAGGTTACGCTGGCGAAGGTGAATATGTTGTGCGAACATTGACTTCGTTGCGCCGGATCAAGTCTGAGCTCGTGCTGAGGCATGCAAGGGAATGGAGTGCGTATGTAACGCTGATACTGGGAAAGAGAGCGTGATTCCAGGGGGGACTGGCTAGTGGGGTGCTGGATTGCTGACCCGTTTCGTGTTATGCTCCACAAATAGTAGCGGAAAACAAGAAATCTTCAAGAAAACCCCCCACCCACCTGGTGGAAACGATGTTGATCTGGCCATCCAGTAGGACCTTCTGAAAGGTTCCCGCGTCGTGGTCTGCGTGACAGTGCGTCACTATGACTCCCGCGATAAGAGACGGCCTGCAAGACATAAACAGCACAGTGTAAAATACATGCAATGCAGCACAGAGCTGAACAAATAGAGGCCACGAAGCCGACACGCGTTTTCCCGCAAATAAACCTAGAAAACTGCAGCCACGAAGCAACGCAACCAACTCACCGGATGTTGGACGCCTGCAGAATCATGCTGGCGTAGGGCGGCGGGTCTATCATGTATCCTCTCCCGTTTATCCAGAGGACATATCCACTTGTGCTTCTAATTTTCAAGATAATGAGACACCGTTCGCAAAGCGCGGGAGAACTTTTCGACTTGGGCTGTTCAGATAATTGCGGCCTGGAGATGCCGCGCGAGTACCACCAGCGGGAAATCTTGAATTTAGCTCTTAATACCCCAAACCGGGTAAATACGATGGGAACGTGAGGTCTACACCACCTTACACCACCCGCCCACAGCCTGAACAGGTACTGCAGCCCTCTCTGCACCTTAAGCCCCATCAGATCTACGAAAAGATGATGGCTGTCAGCCCCACACCATGGCCGTACTCGCTCAGGCCGAACTATTGTGGATTCAGACCGGATGAGTAGGAACACAGGCCTCAACCGGAATCCAGGCCCAGAGGGCATTGTTGCGCCCGTCTAAATTGAAAAGTTCAGGCTACATCGAGCACCTTGGTTCAAGCCGTAGGAGAGTGAACTCAGCCTCGGGTGGGTGAATAAAGGCTTGGGACACCTCACCTCCGACAACAACGTCGAGTGCAGGGCCGAAATCTGCTTTGAGGCTTGCAACACCTGAAATACGTAGTGTGCTCAAATGAAACCTCATGATCTTCCCACACAAAAGGGTCAATCCAGGCCCACAACAGCACCAAAAGTCGAGTGGTTCTACAGGGAAGGGCGAACTCGGACCTTGAAAAGGCGGACTCCGCCCTGTAACACGCGCTTTGAGGCCAAATGAGAAAACACCATCAGGCCGTTCGAATGTGAATTCAGGCTGCAGGTCCAGGCCCTAGGAGGGTAAGCTTGGGCCAAAAACAGTTGACACGTCACCAATCAACATCGTGATTTCAGTTTTGAATTCAGGGCCTAATTTCAAATTCAGGACTCGATTTCAGGTCTGAATTCGCGCCTGAAAGACTGAATTTTGGCTGGCTAGCGTTAGTGCGTCATTCAGGTGTTCCTACTCGGACCTGAAAGTGATTGTGAGTATTGATTCTAGTTGGACTCAATCAATGCAGCACCATCACTCAGGCCTATCGAGGAGGAACTCGGTCCGACAACTCCTGACTTTGGGCAAAATGAACGGTGGATCGAGGTTCTCTCCACAAGCTGGTTTTCACTCGCCCGTTCGGATCAAATCCGTGACTGTTCCCGAGCACTGTGGTCCCGAACGTTGGAGCTATGAACTCATCCTCCCTCTGCTTGGGCTGAGACGGCAACGTCGTCGGTAGCGGGCACGTAATCGAAACCTCTTCTGTTCGCATAGGGAGGAATCCGTTAAGACACGGAATCCCCGCCCGTACCCAACCGCTTAACCCCGGTGCCCACATCCTCCGACGTGTCCGTATCGCGCTCCTTGACTCTCGTCCAGCCTTGGACATATCGTTTCCTGCCGGCGGGGTCGACTCAAATTGTGTGCTAGCTTCGACTTTGGCCGATTTTACTCTCGAGATCCTGCCATCCCTGTCAATATCGCCATCGTCGGCGCTTCGGCTTTTGCTCCCGCCAATGTGCGCGTGAACGAGCCACCGGCCAAACCAGTTAGCGACGGAACCTAAGGGGCGGCCCATTTCTGACCGCTGATTGCCAAAGCTTGATTTGATCAATGGTCGTGTTGGGGTAAAGGGGTGCCTGTCGGGGGCCTCGTCGAAGCTGGTGGAGCCTTTGTTCTTTCCCTTGGGGCTTGATACGCACACTCGCCGAATGGACGCGTACTTTGGTTGCGATTCCGCTCCCTGGCCCCTTCCAATGCCCCGCCCCTCTCCTTCCCGCCCGTTTCTTGTTCCCCCTCTTTCGTCTTCCCCCTCCCTGTTTTCTTCCCTAATGCTCGGTGACCCCTTCGAGCCTCTAGACGATTTTTTTCCCTTCTTCAAGCACGTGTCCGAACTCTCTTCTTCGCTGCCCCCCTCGGTCAGCTGTACCGACATGTGCTTCGCAATCGATTCATGCCTCAGAGAGGTGTGGCGGAGGGTGTCGTTCGTGTCTCCCGCTGCTCTCACGTCGATGGCGTTAGGCATCGAATTTTCCTCCTCCCAAACATCCTCCTCTCTGTCCGTGCTTTCGGAATCGCCTGCACTAAGCCGTGGTGCGTTCTCGTGCGAGGGGTCGCTGCCTCCTTTCTGGTGCTCGGTGAAGATGTACTGCCCCCCGTCGGTATTTGAGACGGCGATCGAAATGCACCAGTCGGCTCCAGGGGTTCCGTCCACACCGTCGAGAATCACGATGCCGTCACTGTTCTGGTGGATAAAGGTGATGAGGAGGTCGATAGACAGCTCCCTTTCGGTGTGTTGCCATCCACATGGGCGGCGTGTGCCGTGAGCACGAACGGTGGATATCGGTGAGCGCATGGACAACAAGCGGGATGGGGGTAATGAGGTCTAGTTAAACGCGTTTCTGAAGCTGATAGGTAGCTTTGCAGCGAATGGCGCCAACGTGGAGTTGACATTTTGACGTAGGCGGTGCCGCATCGCGCAACCCAAACACTCAAGTTCGGTGAATTGTGCGCTACATGCACGGTGGATTATCATGATCACAGTTCACTGCTCACCATGACCCCCCCCCCAACACTTGCAGCTGTATGGGTCTCCATGACAGCACTTCCATCCGTCGGCCTCGTCCCACCATTTTCTTACTCACTTTCCGTTGAAAGTCCGAAAGTATGACAGCTCCTTCCCGATGTCCGGCCTGTTTTCCACAGGCACCGAATCGTCGAAGTCGATCGAGGCGTCGACGTCTTCAGGGCCGAGAAGAGTCTCCTGCATCAGAGCGCGAATTCTGACCTCGGTCTCCACGGAGTCAACGATCAGTTTCACCGTGTTGCCCTACCATTGCGTAGCGGGAGAGAAAGGGGAGGTGCCTTGCTTTGTTTGTTTGTGCGGTTTTCAGGCATTAAAGCTGACCTTGAAATTTCCTGTTGCTACGTATAGCCGGGCAGGGGCGCTTTCGTCCGGCATAGCCAACACAAGTTGGGACAGCAAGGGGGCGTTTGGCGCGACGTAGATATAAATTGCGGACTGAGTGAGTGCTATAAACATCGCGCGAAGCCCATCGCACAACCATTGGGCCCTCCGTCTGTTGAGGCCATTGGATGGCCCATTTGCTGAGGCCATTGGATGCCTTGACTGCGTTCTGAACAGTCGGCATCGAGACCCAGTTGCCTTGGTCCCCTTGTCGTCTGCGGCGTATCATGGACGAAGCAGATGTTCATCAAGCTCTGGTTGAGCAAAGCAGTAGGTTGACGGAATCAACGAAACCTGCGATGCACATACTTAGTTCTACCGAAGGCCACAGCGACGTGCATACACAAGGGAAACTAATCATTGGTTTCATGTGTCCAAACAATCAATCCTCTGCCTTGGCCCCGTGTCACGGTTGCGCTAGGACAGCAATGCTACAGATGTTCAACAGAAGAACATTCGGCCTTCACCTTTAAGAAGAAGTTATAGTACGCCGGGAACTCGAACTCGGCGACGTTGACACCTAAGCTGTTGCCCAACGTCCTGCAAAACTTCTCCGGGGGCACCACGAAGTACTGCGGGACGGGGAGGCCAAGAGCCATAGAATCCTTGATGGTCTCGGGGGGAATACCTACCTGTTTGTGAACAATGCATTGGAGACTGAACGCGATCATGAGCTTTGCTAGTAGCCTTTTGAAATGTGTATCTTTGAGCGTCCATTGTGAACGCAAAGCTGCTGAAGAGAATAAATGCTGTAGAATGGCTATGAGGCACACTTGTCTGGACTGTTTCCAAGCAGCAACGTTCACCGCGGGTACTGTACATACATCGGTGACCAAGGGAGGTCGAAACTGGTGCCCAAGCTTCCCGGGGTCAGGTTGGGGCGTTGGGGATCGACAAAGCTGCCAAGGAAGGTTGTGGGGAGGTTGGGCACCAGATACAAAACCTGTCTAGACCACCCGCGTGCCATCGCAGCACGCTACCGAATGTGGGAAAAGCCCATAATGGGCATACTATCTGGTTGGATGGCTTGGCCACCACTGGTTAGATACTTCTGGACGAGAGGTGATACGAGGGTGGGACGGTAATAGCTCGCTGGCACTTGTCTCACTTTCTGTGGTAGAACACAACGATGTACCCACGTTTGAAGGTTCTCGTGCAGGCGTCAAAGGTTCAGCATGTGGCACGATACGGTGATCTCCAAGTCACCTCTGGTACACAGCAATTCACATCTAGTACCCGACCTGCAAGCGTTCAACACCCTATCGCCCTCGTGGCCTACAGGTGGAGACTATGTAGCCGTTGCGTCTACAGTCTCGTTTTCCTCACTTCTCACCTCTCCCTCACTCACCCCCCCCCACCCGTTGCTTTTTTTCTGTGGTGATTAACAGCTTGGGATTGACATCCCCGTAGACCAAAAGGCGGAGATAAAGTGTTGCTGTCCTGACTTCATCGTCATGAAAAACGAAAAACCCAGTGGACTCACTCGAAAAGCTCACCTGGATGGGACCGATAACCGTTGCCAAGTATGTCCCGCCACGTGGCAGGCACTGCTTCGAAATCTTTCGGAGACGGGGTATACTTGGTTTTCCGGGTGCCGCTGCTTCCTTTCTCTCTGTACTCCATCGAGCTCGGACCCCCGTCGCGATGTTGGTGAGGATTGGGTTTGACTGCCCATCGATTGTTGTCACTGAGTTGTTGATAGCAATTGCTTGGGGCCTCTGCTCTGCCTGAGAAGAAGAAAGAGCGGAAGGCACTGCCGGTGCGACGTTGCCCGTGCCAAGCGAGCTACTCTCCACGGTACGCATGCTGCTGCCCATGTGGCGAAAGTAGTTTTCCAAACGTGCCGACGGGCAGCTGACACCTCCACTCTTCGCCCGAATTGAAAAATTGTGGGAATATACTCCTTCCGGGCAAAGGTGCAGAGCCAGGGTGCACTTCTGACAAGTGCACTTGCCACAGTTACGAAAGCACGGCCGTTGGTTGAAGGTACATGCGACAGAAAATGGCGTGCGCAACAATACGCAGGCAGCCCACTTTGTAGTCCACGATTCGAACTAGGTCGAACTCGATTTTATTCATGCAGTAATCTAGTCTCGAGGCCGTTACAAATTTCTTGCCCTGCTTCGCGCCGCATTTCTCGATAAAAACCTTGGCGTCCCTCACTTCGAAACACGGTTCTGATCTGCGATGCCCCAGTGCTGATGATTGATCGAAGAGGATGAACAAACCGCCAACCACAACACAATGCTGGAAGGGCTTGTCACGCATCGCGTGTGGATACTTGTGTCGCTGCGTGTGCTGTGGTCTCCTATCCTTCTGTTGTCCACGAGCATCTCTTGTATTCGAGGATGACATTTCGGTGAGAACAGCAACGGTGTGAGGAAATTGAAGGTAGCTTTGAATTTGAAAAGAGTCGAGTGCGGTAGCAGACCGCGGTGACTACCCTCTTTTCACCAATTCGTGCGCGCTTTAGAGAGATAAGAGACAAAAGAGGCGGGGTGAGAGGGCTGGTATCGAGGTTGAATGGGTGCCGCTGCACTATTTTGCGTGTAGTTGAGCTTTTCGGGCCAGCAAAATCTCCATATACCACACACGCATGTTAGATACAACTGCTGTCAGAATTTCCTCCGCGCACCCCTGCCCGTGTAATTCCAATATGTAGCTTGATGGTAAACACACAAGCAGTGAAAGTTACACTGACTGCTGTCATGTACAGCAGTAGATGCACCAAGAACACAAACCCCATTCATACAACGATGGTTACAGTGAATAATATATCTTCCCTCCACGTCCGGTGACAGGAGTGGCGTCAGTAGCAGCGCCAGTGTCGTGGGCCCTCCCCAGTCCCTTTCATTGGCGGATGAGGTGTACAACCTGTCGTTGAAGCTGGCAGAGCTGCGGTGGCAGTCGGCGGGCAAGGTCGACGCCTTGCGATGTGTGGCGCAGGTGTGTTGTTGTTGGTTGCTGCTTGTGAGGTTGGCTTGAAGGCGTAAGATGCATCAGAATTCATGGGGGATTCGCGTCTCCGCACATAGCAGACGGTGCAGGCAAAGGGGTGATCGGTTGCTCTGCTATGGACACGGCCCCTTTCCTTCTGTGGCCCAGGTGAGCGTTTGGTTGCATTCCTTGAGACTACGTAATCAGACCATTTTTGTCGGCCATATGGAAATCCTCGATTTGTTGTACCTTGATAACGGATTTGGGAGACGAACGTGTATTGTGCTACGAGGCGCAGTGTGTCGTGCCGTCAGGCGTCATGTTTCCTCAAGGACCAGCGGGAGAGATGTGTTTCTTGAGCAAAACGCGTTGGGGTGAGGTGGGGACAGCGGTGAATTCATTGAGGCATGTAGCGTCGACACCCTGCGTACCTTCTCATGGCTCAGGCTGAAATTTCTGGTCTTTTTTTTTGATGGTCAAGTGTTTCTGTGGAAAAGAGGGTTTCGTCCTCGACAGACGTTGGGGAGTTTCAACCTTTATGAAGGTGTTCTCCACATTTCGGACTTTATTATTCGTTAACGTTTCAAGTCATATTCATTGTTTGTCAGCAGCTCTACCATCCCATGGAGAGTATAAGTGGTACAGAATGACAACATGGTGCCCCCAGTTCCCTCCCCCCCGCTGGTTCGCTTTTCTCGGTATTGCAAATAGGGTGTTCCCGAGCTTCAGCAGGCGTTCAGGCCGCTGCATGCTGCGGTGGAAGCGGGCTTAGCCGAATGCCACCAAGCTAATCTAGCGGTGAGCTACCTACATGACTTGTGCCGCGAGATGGGAATGTTTTGTTTCCGCAAGCAGCAGTGAGGGCCGAGACCGTTGTGTATAGTGGACGGAAGAAATAGCGCCGACCATACAGTGGTTTATGCGCTGTCTCTCGAAAAGCATCGTATCACTGGCCGGCTGATCGGCGGGATTGACGAGCGGTTGGCACGGTCAAATGATTGCAAGCGTAGCGAGCACGAACGCTAGGCATGTGTGGTGCCATGGTTGCTAGGGCTCTTGATCCGAGCGCCAAACCCGCATTCTTGATAATTTTATGACCGATCCCTTCGGTTTCTCCCCTATCGGGGGCATCTGCGGGTCAAAGGCTTTTTGGCGGTCCATGCCCCGTCGAGACTGATGGCCTTTCATGAGTCCGCCGGTGTTGGCACTAATGATGGCAGCTTCCAAGTTGCCAGGTTACCATCAACCCCCCAACCACTTTTGCCGCCATCGCTCAAGACGATGCGGACTTTTTGCCGCTCCTGTGTTTGGTCGAGCTAGTAGCCCGCCGCCCATTCATGCGTTGCTCTATTCTTACTCACAAGGAGGCCCCGCTGAACGGCATCAATACGGCAATGTTTAGCCCCGTCTCAGAGAGCGAAGAGACACCATTCAATGAGTCCGCTGAAGCTTCGCCGTGTTTAGAATAGGGGTACTAGTGCCACTAGAGTACGACCATGATTTGCCGGTGTGTTCGGTGTGTGCCGTGACTCAGGCGGTTTTCGGCCGACGAGCAGCGACTCCGCGCGGATTGCTTGGCGCCCTTCCTCTCGGCGAGAACGGGCGCGGTGCTGTCGGCGTCGGCGGGAGGGAACAGGGTGGGGGCGGGGTTGGGGGCCGGACCGCAGCGGCGGCGCGGCATCTAGCCGCGGCGCTGTCGGCGCTCGACGGAGACGTGCGCGCGGCGGCGCTGCTGGCAGAGCAGGGCGATAGCTTGAGGTATCGCGGCGTTACGGGCACAGCAAGCGGTTGCTTTGTTGTTGTGTTTGTTGTCAGATGCCCTCAGCGACTGTTTGCGGTCAATCCTTCCTTGCGTCCCACCCGACCAGTCGTTCCCGATGTCAGGCAGTTTGCCCCCCCCCCCGCCCCGGTGTTTGCCATCGGGGTTGGGTTTTCGTCGCTTGGCAACGACGTTGTAAAACAAGCCGCCCCCCCCGGTGTTTGCCATCGGGATTGGGTTTTCGTCGCTTGGCAACGACGTTGTAAAACAAGCCAATTCACTTCGTGAACTCGGCAACCAGGTTACCGTTTTTTTTTTTTACCTCCGTTTTTTTTGTTTACCTCCGTTTTTTTTTTGGCGGTGACCATAATGGTGGTCGAGTAGATCATGTT